TCTAAGCACTAAGTTTGTCTCCCAAACTAGAGAAGACAAAAAATTAATGTTTCAAAAACCAAAGGCCGCTATGAAAAGTGCAAATTACGATATGAATATTTGACGAAGAAGAAAAAACCAAGGGCTCGATTACAAATTGAATGTTGATATAGGCAAAGCTCTTTTTTGACATATGATACTCTCGAAGTAAATTAGATCAAGTAGTCCCACTCTCCTCTCTTGTTGGAATTTTTTGAGTGGCAAGGAAAAAATTATGATGAAGAATGATACATTCCCTATGTCCATTCCCAGCATTACTATGTCTTCTGACAATGAGGAAGATTTTCAAAGTATTCCTGTTATTCAGGCGGAAAGGTCGACGAAAGTCACTTTCGCTGATGAGGAGGTAATATCCATTAATGGAGCTGAATAAGGAAATAGAGATGTGTGTGAGGTCTGATAGAATGGAATGAAGAGAAAAATGGCTAGTGTTTTTCATTTCGCTTGGTTCCGGCTGCGGGTGAAAATTGTCTAAGAATTTTTTTTGTTGTGGAATTGTAAGTAGTCGATTTTTTGTGTTCTTACAAAGAAACCTAAATAGTTTGTAAGCCCAGATTTTGTTAAATTTTTAATCTCAGACATTTTCTTGAGAATTAGTTTTCGAATGTTTGAATTTACCCATAACTTGGATTCATTCGAAAAGTTTGAGAGAAAAGTTCATTAAAAATGTCTAAAATAGAAAATTTTAAGGAATTAAGTAAATTTCATGTTCTCTAAAACGTCCTAAAAATTGTAAAAATCGCATTTGGAAGTTGCTGTCTTTGCACTTTTGTTATTCTAAAGTTTTCAGAACTGTCTAAATAATTTATTCTTGAAATGTTGAGGTTTGCTTGTTTATTTATTTATTTATTTGTTTATTTATTTCAACGAAGGGGAGAAAACCACTAACACGTGAAATGTCTATGAAACTAGGGGATATAACAGGGGACATACATTTGTATTAAATGGGAGATGGAGGAAAAACCGAGTTAGTAATTAGTTGAATTCAAGACAAGAAAATGTTTTAGATCACAGGATAATAGTCGATTTTTGAAAGCCGCTGACGAGGGCTTCACCGGAAACACTTTGGCGGGTAAAGAGTTCCAACATCTGATTACTCTATTAGAGAGAAATTGAGAAGATATTTTTGTTGAGTTTTTTGATATTGTTAAGTGAAATTGTTTGCTAATGATTGCTTTTCAATTTTTGAATCATTTTGACAAGTTTAAAACAACCGATTCCAATTTAAAAACAAAGAATACCGTAAAAGCTTTGATAGAAGAGCTCAACACTGTCAAGTCTGAGCTAATTTTTCTCGGGCCCAATCCAAGATAATACAAATATGTCAACTGATAAAATGTTTTTGATATTATGATAAACAGTTTCTCAGTTGACGGCTTTCTTTGCATCTTTGATAGATATCGCGATAAAAAGTAGGGGGCTCTTTTATCACAGGCTTTTCTGTATACATTTTGAATATTAGAGGCAAAACCTGGTAACAATTTTGGAACTTCAGAATTCCCTCATTTTGTCTTCCTCTCATTAAAAAATCCAAGCAAAATTCCATGTGGTTTCAAATTCAGAACAAAAAAAAAAGACGAATCAAGTGTCTTTCTTTTCGCCCCATTTTCTATTGCAATCGCACACGCATACGAATCCATTATGTCTGGTGACACACACGAACATGTGTCTCAGCACCCCGAGGCTGCCCCAAAAATTTTTTTTGCAGCAGAGCCGGAATAAACCTTGACGTTTCTTTTTTGTTTCTTCTTCTTCTCCTCGCAATGTCTTCCATTTTTCTAGTAGCCACCTCCTTCTTCTTCCGTCTATTCATAGCCTTTGGTCAACTTCTCATTAGATCTGATGAAAAGAAAAAGGCGAGGGGAGAGGTTGTGCAGCACAACCACCACTGTTTCCTATTATTTCTACTTGCTCCGTGCGATATTCCAGTTTGTATGATGTTTTTGAATTTTCAAAATTTCTGGAAAGCCCCTCTTTCAGATATTGATGCCCTTTTGTCATATTTCCTCTCAGCGCTTCCTCTTTTCTTTTCGATGAATTGCGGCTGGAAAAGTGTTTGTCTGAAGAGTTTCCGAGCACAACTCCTTTAGGACTCTTACAATGGAAAACTCCAAAGTAATAACAATAATAAATATTGTCTAGCACTCACTAATTTCCTAGTTTCTAACTTCCACTAACTATGCCTGTCATCATTATTGCTAATCCATCAGTAAGATTTTGTGATTTCAACTGTCATTTATTTATTACACAAAATGCAAATAAATCAGATTTGACGAGCAACATATCGGCAAAATTGTAAAATGGTTTTCAGATGTCCCGTTTACGATCCGACACATTCATCAAGCCGGGCTCCGAAAGCAGCTTCGATAGTGAAGATTTGAACTCGAGAAGGTACAGACAAGAGTTAGAGAGTTATTGTTGCTGCTCAAACGTATCTGCAACGGTGAGTCAAAGTTTGTGTTTAAAAAAAAGCAAGAGGCAACACAATGAAGTATACAGTGCTGACTAAAATGTTGTCTTTAAATGACAATTGCAGTCTAAAAGTTTCATTTTTTGGTGTCTGGAAAAGTACTTATTACTTGCCCGTTTTATCTGAAAATTCAAGGATTTTGAAACGAATTTAAAAAAATTGTCAACTACAAATTTAAAGTTATATTTGATTTAGAATCTCAGTTTTTGATATCAAACGAAAAGTAATATTTCGTTTTTCTGACACTCAAAAGTGACTGTTTTGAATTAAATTGGTCATTTTGGGATACGAGTTTGGCCGGTACTGTATCTTTAAAATTTACAATGGAAACTGGATATGTATTTCCAAAGATATGCAGAATTAAACGAACTCATTAGAAATCTAAATTTCTTAAAACAAACTACAGTACTAATGGAAATAAATAATTTTTGTAGTTTAGAACTTTTTCATTTTCAATATGCATTTCAGATTCCACAAAAACTCAAAAAAAAATTTTACAGAGAGTTTTGATTGTGTCTGCAATTCTTAGTATCATTCAAGCGATCGCACACTTTGTTCTCCTTCTACATGGTAAGCGTTTTTTCTCCCACAAATCTAACAAGAACAATTTTCAGACTGCGACCTCAAAATGATAGATATGGCAATAGCCACGTGGCCAGTGGTTACTGTAACCATATCTCTAGTGTTCACCTATTTTGCATACGACACCCATAGCTCCACTTCTATAAAACCTTACATCGCTCACCATGTGAGACCTTTTTCAAAATAAAAAATCAATATTATAAAAAAAATTTCAGATCCAACTTGCGATTTGCTATTGCCTATGTATGGTTTTATTTGCCATGTTCACATGCAACATTCAAATCTTCATGGATATCCTCGCATTTTGTTCCAACTACTCCACATTATTCTCTCACCTTCAGGAGACAGGTAATGCAATAAAGTTCTATTGATTTCCAGAGAAAAATTCCAGAAAGTGAGCGGAAACTAAAAATGGCTGGATTCTTATCATCTCAACTACTGATAAGTTTCTTCTGCTTGCATCTCTCTGGCCCGTTGTTCTCATGGCTTGATACGGAGAAAAAGTATGTTAGCACTGACGGAACTGAAGTCATTTAGCATATCTATCTTTTTTAAAACATGTAAATGTTTTGGAAGTCTGTGATTTTAAATTTTAAAATGAAAAACATAGTTTATTAAGTTATTAATCAATAAATAAATCAATGAATAAATAAATAAATAATTTAACTTAAAATCACAGAAAATTATTATTGAGAAGAACTGAAAAAAGTTAGATTGCAACAATTTCAAATTATACTGGCATGAAAAAGACCCGAAAAGATTACGAAAAGAAAATCTGCAACAATTTATGGCGAGCCATCACAGTTGATTCCGTCAAAGTATACTGTAGAAGCGTCATATCCGATCATATCCGGTCTACGGTAGTCAATGAGAGAGTCGCGGTAGAGTTCACAGCTTTGGAATTCACCTGGAAAAAAAACATAATAAAAAATTGTGTAGAAGCCGATAACAAATAACTGCCCATAAGACATACAAAACCGTATTTTCGGTTCATTTTGACCATTTTCAAAAATCGGGATCTCGGTTTTTAGGTTTTCGATCTCTTTGAAAACTTTAAAGGGTGTAAAAACAGACTAGACTTAAAACTTTGCATTCACAGAACTTTCTGAAAATTCCTAGCTTTTGAGCTATTTTCCGATTTCTGGAAGACACCAATTTTTGGTCCATATTAAGTACTAAAACATGAAAAACCAATCTTGCAACAACCTGGACCGGTCAGGCTTTTTTTTCCAAATTTCGGAAGCCCGGCCAGCCCCTTCATTTGACAAGTATAGAAAAACATTGCTTGTTAGATATTGGCAAATAGCTCAAAAACTGAAACGTTGCAAAAAATTCTGTGAATTCAAAGTTTTCAATCTAAATCTGTTTCAAACCCTCCAATGTTTTAAAAAATCTACCGAAATATACTTTTCGTGTATCTTATGGATACTGTATGTAAGAGCCAATTGCGTACCTTGAGCAATAAGGTTAGCCGATCTACATCTCAACGCATAACAAGCCGCAAAGCAATCGGCTGGAGTCTTCACACGAACTGCTTTCAAGAGACGTCTTCCCAAGAAAGATGTCTGGTAGAGCGCAGAATAAGAACATCTTCCAGCTGGTGGATATCCAGGTGTAGTAGCTGGCTCCTCGGTAGTTGTAGATAATCTTGGAAGTGGCATTCCAGCCTTGTCGATTTTCTCATCAAACTTGTGAGTTTTCACTCCACTGGCTTTTGCCCTAAAAATATTATTTTTCATTATTGATTTTCATTTTCAAATGAGTATCTTACTTTGTTGTGGTTGTGGTAGTTGTTGCCTTTTCAGTGGTGGAAGTAACCGGAACCGTGCTCTCTGGCGCCATCTCGCTTGTTGGTTCATCATCTAATCCGGTGGAGAGCTCTCCACCAATGTGATCTTCCATTTCATCATCTTCGAGTCCTTCGGCTTCCGGAATACTGGATTTCCGGGATGGCTTGTTTGTTTGTTTTGAAACTTCGGAAGATGTTCCAGATGGTAGAGCGGTTTCCGTTGCTGCAGGCTCGGTGATCTCCATCTTTGAGAGTCTCTCCAAAACTTGAGCTTCAACTTTTTTCATCTGAACATGCTTTGGATCGGTTTCAAGTTTCTTCTCTTCTTCAGAGTCAACATTGGATCCTTCAGCGACTCTGGCTTTGAGCAGGTTTTCAATAGTTTTCTTATCGGCTGTCTTCATGGCTACGGTATCAGTCTTGCCAGTGTCCGTAATCGGAGCTGTTGTAGTTTTCTTGGTTTCCTTCAATGTATTCCCTGAAAAAATTTAAAAAATTAATTATATACGTATAAAACTCTAGTTTCCCGGGAAATTGCAATTGCCCATAATCTATTCATTGTCCCGTTTCATCATAATCATCTAAGACGCCACCCATATTACATTCGCTGTACATTAAAAAATGCTTCAAAACTTTCTGCTCAATTTCTCACACTCCGTATTATATCCTGCTGGAACTCGCTTCCAAAAACCGTGTTCCCACCCTTGATTTCATCCATCTCTTTTAAAACTAATTTAAGTCATGTTAATTTATCTTCTTTCCTGTTCCTAGACGAACACAATTTCTAACTCATTTGTTCAATTTGTAACACATTGATTTTATAAGTGACTGATAGTCCTGAATCAATAAATAATTATTATTATACACGGTACCAGTCCATATTATATACAAAAATGTGTTTTTAAGTTGATTTTGATCGTTTCCAGAAGTCTGCAGCTTGACTTCAAGTTTCTGATTACATTGAAAATGTTGGAGGATGCAAAACAGACCCAGATTAAGAACTTTGCATTCACAGAATTTTTGAAAATTCTTAGTCTTTTAGGTATTAGGTTGGAAGAAAAGTAACTGTCCATTTTTTAATTCGTGAATAACACAAAAACAAAAATTATCCAAGATTGGCAGTATGCACCGTCGTGGTCCACGACATGCTGACAACATTCACTTAACTTGTGGATCCCATACCTCCTAAAGCCCGCTGGCCGCGACTCAAAGTATTTTTTCAATCCAGATTTTATCTCATCTACAGTTTGAAATATTTCCCTTCAGATGACGTTGCATATCTCCCAATAATTAATATATGAAAGGGCCAAATCAGGAGTTTGAGGAAGTGTAAAGAAACACCGTCGAGGTAAAGCGGCCCATGTCTTACTTGACTATCCGTGGAACATAGGATCTCGCGTTATTCAAGGAAATTCAGTTCAGTTCCAAGCCGCTTTGGATGGATGGCTGTCCACATTTCTCAAACTCCAAACTTCGCCCTTTTATTGTTGGTTATTCGGAGATATGTAACGTCATCTGGAGGGAAATTAATTTTACACTGTCGATGAGGTAAAAACGGCTTTTTGGGAATACTTTTCCTCGCGGTCAGCTGACTTTTGGAGGGACGGTATCCACAAGTTAATTGAATGTTGTCAGCATGTAGTGGACCACGACGGTGAATACTGTCGATCTTGGGTAATTCTTGTTTTGTGTTATTCACGATTAAAAAATGGACAGTTACTTGCCTTCCAACCTAATATTTGCCGGTTTCTGAAAGACGCCTGATTTTTTTCACGTTTTCAATGAATGAAACGGGCACTGTCTTTCTGAAATCTGCAAATAGCTGAAAAATCAAGACGTTTCAGAAAATTTTTTGAATCCAAAATTTTTCATCTACGTCTGTTTTGAACCCTCCAAAGCTGAATATGGCCAAAAATTGACTGATAAACAGGTTTTCATATATCATTGACACTTTTTCACTCACTTTTAGTATTCAGAATCAATTGAGCCGTTGTGGTTTCCTGTTCTTCTGTTGTCGCCTCTGTTACTTCTTTAGAATCGTCTTCCAATTTTCCAACTGCCTCATTGATTTTCTCCATCAGAACCTTTTCATCCACTGGCTTCATACTAACTTCCTCTTTCTTTGGAGTAGTTGCCTCTTCTGTAGTTGTTGTAGTATCTTTTGTAGTTGTTGTTGCTTCAGTGGTCGTGGTTGTTGGCGTGGTTGTGGCAGCTTCAGTAGTGGTGGAAACTGTTGTGGTATCAATTTCATTATTTGATCCACTTTCCACTTTTTCTATCTTTTTCAAAACATCCTCAGTATCCAAAATGTGTTCTGACTTCTTGGTAGTAGTTGTCTTATCCCTCTTCTCAATGTGTTCTTGAGATTCCACAACTTTATCAAGTTTGTCTAAAAACTCCTTCTCATCCAATCTTTTCAGTCTACCAGTGTTTTCTGCCATCTTTTCATCGTGTTTTACCTCCACTGGATCACTCTCATTATTCAGAAGATTACCCTCGACCGTCTCTGGCTCCATTTTACAGACATCAGCGCGATATTTATGTCTAGCCTCGTCCTTGTTGGCACAAGTCCATTCGAAATAGCTTCTTGATTGGTTTATGCTTGGTACAAAGTTGAATTTCTCTGGGTTGGAGAATCTAAAGTTAAAAAATATCTTTAAAATCATTTTCTAATTTTTTACCTGTTCTGTTTGTTGATAAGACAAGTCTTGCTGTCATAGTAATACAAGAAAGATGCACATTCTTCTCCATACAACTTCTGTCCTTCAGCACATTTGCACTTGCATTCTTCTGGAGTCACAGATGTTTCAACTGCAATCGCGGTTCCTTCCAATACAAAGTCATTGAGTTCCACATAACACTCATCGGATTTCAACCCATTCTTCTTGGTGGATTTCTCTTCTAATGGAGTAGCTCCAGTGGTGGTCTCTTGTGGTCTTCTGCATCCAGTAGGTGCCAAGGATCCCAAACTGCTCACGGTCTCATCGATCTCACATGACATGCCAATATAGGATACGTTAAGGCTGATGAATTGTCTTTCGAACAGTTTGCTCTTCATGTTTCTGTCCTCCAAGTTGAGGATGCAGTCTTTTTCAGTGTGGTAGTAAGTAGCAGATCGGCATTGGAACTCGTATCTTCCTGATTTTCTGAAAATGAAAAACTAAATGGTTACAGTTTTTCAAGAAAAAACGTACTTGCTGTTAGCGCACATGCACTGACACTCTTCAAGAGTCACATCATGCTCCAAACCTCCAGCAACACTGACCATCAGATGATCGTCAATTACTTCGAAACAGCCATCACGTTCTGGAATCATTTTTCAAAATGTTGGATATTGTCTAAGCCTCCTGAGCCTCATGTACAGTACCGGTCATTAGATATTTCTTCAGTTGATTTTTGGCCATTTTGACTATTTTCGAAAGCCTGGAGCTCGGCTAAGAAGTGACGGATTACTTTGAAAATCTTGAAGTATATAAAACAGACCTAGATTGAAAACTTTGTATTTACAGTATTTGTGAAAAGTCTTAGTTTTTTTAAAGCTATTTTCCGATTTCTGAAAGACACCAGTTTTTCACGTTTTCAGTACAAAACAGGCCAAAAAGGGGTGTCTTTCAGAAATTGACCACTATATAAAAAACTAAGAAATTTCCAAAAATTCTGTGAATGCAAAGTTTTCAATTTAGGTTTGCTTTTCACCCTCCAAAATTTTCAAAGTGATCGAAAACTTCACAGCCGAGCTCCAGACTCTTGAAAATTGTCAAAATGCTCAAAAAACAACTGGAGGAAACAGTTTTGTATATCTTATTGACCCTTACTGTAAATGTACTATTGTTGTATAAACTTAGGAATGGAGACATTTCAAACTACAAATCAAACGCGTAATTTTGAACTTACTAATAATCATTTCGGCTGGTTTGACTTCTACAACGTTATTCTCATCTCCAGAATCATGTCCGGATGGTCTCTCAGACGTCTTCTCGGGCTCAGCAGTGGTGGTCGGTTTCTCAGTTGTCTTCTTTGGTTTCTTCGTTGTAGTTGGCTTCTTTGTAGTCGTTGTCACTTTTGGAGCCTTAGTCGTAGTTTTCTTCGTAGGAGTTGGCTTCTTGGTAGTTGTCTTTTTCTTCTCTCCTTCTACAGTTTCAGCAGTTACCAACTCAACTTTAGGCTTTTTAGTGGTGGTTTCTTTCTTTTCCTCTGTCTTCTTCTCTTCTACCTTATTCTCATCCGCGTGTTTGCTCTCAGATTTGAAGTTTGGACACTTGGAAGAAGCGGTTTCAACAAGAACTGAAAAATAACAATTTTTGAAAATTGTGTTAGTTTTGATTCAACTCACTTTCTGGATCACATCCAACATACTGATAGAGCGTTTTGCGCTGCTCAATCAAATCGTATTGCCCCCTGAAAAGTTGTTTGAATTGAATTTCTATTGCCATCGTGAATAACTTACAAGTGGTTTCCTCTGTTCAATGTGCAAGTTTTACTACGGTATTGGAAAGAGAGGCACTTGTGCTTCTTGTTGCTTGCTTGGTGGGTAGCAGCACAGAGACATCTACAGTCGTTTACAGAATCAACATCATGAGTTTCAAAGTCGGCACCAAGAAGGTATCTATGACGGATGGTACGGTAGCACACTGGTACTTTGTCTGGAACATTCTTTTTATTTTGAAAACCCGCCAGTCTTTTGCTAACTATTTGGAACAAGAAAACATTTTTCAAAAGTATCACTATTACTCAGTAAGTCAATTGTCCCAGTAGTCCATTGAAGCGTGAAAAGTGAAATGAGTTCTCACCTTTATTACCGTCTCCTCCTTTTGCCACACTTGCGTCATTTTGTTGGAGAGTGAGCGGTTCAACGGATCCAGTTCCACCCTCTCGGAGACTACTGATGTTGGCGAGAATGAGACGGGTGACGTATCCATCGGCGCGTGGGCGATCCGATGATTCCGAGTTGCTGGATGAAGAAGTGGAAGTGGAGGGTGATAACTTGGAGACGGATGGGGTTGTTAGTGGATCGGTGATCACATTGTTGCCGGATGATGCTGATGATAATGGTGTCTCTTTTAGATTACCGTCGTTTGGTTCGCCGGTAATGATTCCGACCTGCAATTTTATTAGAACGTCGTTATCAAGAATGATAAAGTGTTAGGGTCAGATGGTTCTAGCGTAATAGTGTTAGGGTCAGATGGTTCTAGCGTAATGTCGTATTTGAGGTACACTGTATAATGTATATTTGTCATGGGCCGGGCCGGATTAAAATGAAAAATTATCCGGTCTGGGCCAGATTACGAAATTTAAAAATTCCAAAGTGATTTTTTTTTAAATTTTTTTTTTGAAAAGCTTCAAACTTTTCAGTTTTGACTTTTTTGTAAAGACGGAATGTCTCAGGTTTTCTCTGTGGTGGAATTTAATACATTTTTCTCAAAATTTCATCAAAAATTAGTTTCCGTCTCTGTTCGGGCCCGGAATTTGATAATTATGGTAAATTTCATATTTGGGGAAGTTTTTGAAAACTAGAGATATTGAAAAATCAAATCAAAATCAGTTTGTTCAAAAAATAAAAATGGAACCACTATCTTGAATATAAAAAAAAGAATTTCCCAACAATTAAAAAAAGGAAAACCTGTAATTAAAGGGCCCCTAACCGTCAATTTTGAGCCAATTAACCTCCGTTCCTGTCAAAGGTGTGAAAGAGTTAACAACTGACGAACAGTTAATCATGATATCAGAAGTGTTTTCTAGTAAAAATCATACTTGTAATCCGGGCCTTTGCTGGGCCTTC